ATGTATTTAAAAAATCTATACGCATTTAAAAACTACAAATCTTTTTATTTAAAACAATTAATACAAATTTCAAACTAACATTTCTGCTTCAAAGTAGCACATCTTTATTTTACAATGAAATTCTACATTTTGAAAACTAACAACCTATTGTAATTCATATTTAAAATTACAAGAGTAGAAATCTATCTATAAAGATCAGTATTTCTAACCAGAAATATGGATAAATGATTATATATTGACTGACTGACTTTCTACCCCACCGTGGAGAGGTCCCAGAGGATCACCGTGGAGAGGTCCCAGAAACCGCGTTCAGACAATTGGCCATATTTATGGCCTGCCTATATTGCGGCCCCTGGGTGGGGCTTCAAATAACAACAAATTTCATTCTAAAAAGTACATATGCGATAACTTATTATATATTTTAAACAGTAGCTATATATATATATACTGACAATATATATATATATATACACACACACACACACGCAGACACATACAATGGGCTTTGTTCTGGGGCTATGCACTTTCATCTTTTTTTCTGCCTGAGTTTTTTTTTTTTTTTTTTCAAGTGCTACTACAGCAGTAGACACTGAATGGTGAGTACTGACATGTGTTTGCTAGAAGAAGAAAATCTCTGGATGTTTGTTTATTTGTTTAAATAACGGATCAACATCACGACACATGGGTGTAACCCATGAGTGCTCCGTTCTACTTCTAACTCAAGTCTGAGGCTGAAGAATCTCAGCGCAATGCAAGAACTCTGTTGCACCGGCAAGGATCCTGAAATATTTTAGGTAGATTGTTAACTCAAAATTTTGCCTGGGCAGCGCTTGTAGGCTACTGTTTTCAATTTTCAACTGCCAAAGGATTTTTTACGTTTGCAACAGTACACACGGGTGTCTGATCTTACTACCCAGAGACCAAGGGGAAATTACTAGAAGTCCACGTGAAAAAATCCCAGACTTCACAGGGGCCTGAACCCAGGACCTTCAGCACTCGATGTGGACACTATACATCGAGACCACTCAGCACTGTATGTGTGTGTATAAAACTAACTGAAAAATCTATATCTCAAACTAACCACCATAAATAAAACTTTCAGTCTATATATAAAGCTAGAAACTTACATATAAATTATTTTATATATATAAAACAAATGTCCACATTTAAAACAAACAATCTATTTTTTTAAAAAAAAAAACTGTAATGCATAAATAAAAACTCACAATCCATTGCAAATTGATGTTAAGAATAGCAGTTCATATCTGACTAACAATCCACCTTAAAATTAATCTGCATTTTAAACTAACAAACTATACCAAAATGAACACACCTGACAACATATTAGACAAAGGTAATCCTTATGTTTAATAACATTCTGCACCAAAACAATCTATATAAACAATAAAATAATCCATATTTGGAACTAGCAATTTTATATTAACAATGCCTGTAAAAACTTAAATCTACACCAGCAAATGCAGTTTGTGCTAAATTTTGTTGTTGATTCAAAAGATGAAAGAAGAGATGGACAAAGGCACCAATGAGCTTTCACACTTTTCTTCTATTAACACTGAAAGCAAAAGGCAGACAGACAAAAAGCACAGGCTGATTAATTCCTTCCCTTTTCTTTGCTCGCTCCCAACTGATAAAAATAGTTTTGACCATCCTGAGATTAAAAAGATTTCCTCCTGGGTGGCAAGCTAACAAGCCAGTTCCCAGATATGCTATTATACCTATAAAAAAGTTATTATTGGGGCATTTATTATGGCTACTCCAGTCTGGTGTAATGCAATTTTCCAATTTCCAATAGTCTACTAATTGCAGTGATAAACTGACTGCACACAAATTATTTCCATCTATATATACATATATATATATATATATATATATATATATATATATATATATATATATATATATATATACAGACCATGCTGTACGGCATGACATTTTCCCCCAATATCATTCCAGCCATCTGTCTCATTTGCTACTGATCACATATGTTCTTTCATTCCATGATAATAAATCTGTCCCATAACATTGTCTCTTTTGATCTTCCCACTGCTTCTGTTCCTGTTGTCAGTGTGTATTCCAGCTTCCCCCTTCTCATATGTCCCCAGGACATGTGGATTGTCCCCTTCCGATGCAGGTAACTAGCTATCTTTGCCTTTAAGACATCATTGCCTCTGTTATCTGTCCACTGTGTTTTCACATTTCTGCAGCTTCCATAGTTCCCTTTCATACATCAGGTTTGTCTGTATATAGTATTTAAAAAGTATTACTGCCTATCCCCCCAGATATGGATGTGTTGCAAGGAATATTTTCACCCTGTGAAATGTTGCTTTTGCTTTTATCCTACAATTAATTTTATGTTGTCAGTTTCATCACTTGTAGTGTAGATATCATCACACCTAGTGTAGATATCATCACTTGTAGTGTAGATATCATCACTTGTAGTGTAGATATCATCACTTGTAGTGTAGATATCACCTAGATATCATCACTTGTTGATATTATCACTACTAGTGGATATCATCAAGTGAGTACAGACCTAGGTAGATATATCACAGATATCATCACTTTTAGTGTAGATATCATCACTTGTAGTGTAGATATCATCACACCTAGTGTAGATATCATCACTTGTAGTGTAGATATCATCACTTTTAGTGTAGATATCATCACTTGTAGTGTAGATATCATCACACCTAGTGTAGATATTATCACTACTGGGAATAGGAGTACAGACCTTGGAGTATCAGACCACTTGAGCTCCCCCCCCCCCCACCCAATAATTTTGCTAGGGGGCTAAATGACATCCTAGAACCTACCCACACCCACCACTTATATATGTGTAAGGCACTGGGGGAGGTGTATGGAGGGATGCCAAGGTAACCCCCAACCCCCCCCCCCCCCCCCAACGTTTTCTTTGTATTGACGCCCTGGCCTAGACATATTAGGACACCCACCCCCTCCAAATTTAAAAAAAAAAACAAAAAACTTTTTGATGGGGCTTCCCAATAATTTGTACGGGGACATAAACAAGGATCAAAAGTGCAGGGAGGAATCCACACCTTGAAAAATACAAGGGGACTAAGGCCACCAAATGATTTCCTCATAGTGAGGCAGCTGCTACTAGCAATGATCTTTATCATCTAGTGTAGAATGCATCAGCCAGTGTGTATTAAATCACACTTGGTGCAGCTATTATCAGTGCTAGCATAGATCAAACATTAATAGCACAGATTGAACATTTAGCGTAGATTTTTTCACTTGCAGCACAGATCAAACATATAGTGTAGATTTTGTTACTTGCAGCATAGATTGTATCATTCATGGAGTCGAGCCTATGATTTGTGTAGACTGGATTTTTAAATCTATGTAAACTGTTGTTCTTTAGGTAACTACTCTCATCATATGTAAATTCTCTGTAAACTCTACCAGCCCCTTGTGTATATTTGTTAAATCCAGTTAAATCTCTTGTGTGAATTTCCTGTGTAAATAATAATAGATCCTAATCTTCTAAACTGTTACCAAAATTAGAGCTCTCCCAGGATTCGTAGATATTTTCTAAATGTACATCCCATTGATTATGCAAAAACCAGTCTCTCCCAGTTTTATCTTTGCATTTGTGGATGAGGCTTCGTAGATATGTTTATAACATTTGTATAGGTGTGGGTGTCACTTGTGTAGATGTTGGCATGCAGAGGCATTCACACATGTATCATCCCCTTGTGTCAAGGCATCCCTTGGTGTAGTTTTATCTTGCATTTGTGGATGAAGCAAATCACTTTTGCTTTCATCTTGTTCATGTATGATATGTAGGCATCAAATGTAAGGCATCACTCGTGTTCATGTAGGCATCACTTGTGTTCATGTAGGCATCACTTTTGTTCATGTAGGCATCACTTTTGTTCATGTAGGCATCACTCATGTTCATGTAGGCATCCCTTGTGTTCATGTAGGCATCCCTTGTGTTCATGTAGGCATCACTTGTGTTCATGTAGGCATCACTTGTGTTCATGTAGGCATCACTTGTGTAGGCGTGGGCATCTCTTGTATTGTCAGTATCACTTATGTAACTGTAGGCATCACTTGTTAAGTGTAGACATCATTTGTGTAGACATAAGCTTCATTTGTGTAAATGTAGGCATCACTTGTATAGATGTAGGCATCATCTATGTAGGTGTAGCATAATCTATGTAGGTGTAGACATCACTTTGTTGATGAAAGCATCACTTGTGTAGATGTAGGCATAACTTATGTAGATGTAGGCATCACTTGTGTAGATCTTTGTCTGTATATGTAATCTTCACTTGCATAGTTGTAACTATCACTTTATTACAACCTGAGTAGAATATCTTATCACTTTGAGGCGATATCACTTGTATGAAACACTTACACTTATCACTAATCATATTACATCAAAAGCATCAGTAAATGAGGCAGATATTCAGCAAAATTACTCACTCAACACCTTCCCAGTATCTTCTAGCAACTGACGTTTTTTTTTCCTTTGATCCAAAGATGTCAAATATAATTTCCAGAAATTTGCAAAATGAAAGTGTTCTAGCCAAAAACTTTATATACTACCCCTCATTGGTTGATGCTGAGAGGTCATATTCACATCCTACATTTCATAGGTTGATATCAAACAGCTACATAAAACATTTTAATTTTCACTGGTTGATGATGAATGCTCATATTCACATCTTACTTTTCATTGGTTGATGTCAACTAGTCAGATGAAAACTCAAATTTTCATTGGTTGTTACAAACTGGCTATATTATAATCCTTCAATTGGCTGATAGCTGAAAAGCAGTCATATGAACTCAATTTCTGACTTGTTGTCTACTGAATAGAAAACTCCTTGATGATCTTTATATCCATTGCCAATGGTGACATGCCAAAGGTTGCTGCGAATGCTGCAAGGACAGACGCTATAAATTCTGCTGATGTATAGAAGGGCTGCATGAGTTATCCCACTTGACACTCATCATACATGATGTGATGACATGCCCCCTGTTGCATGACCAGAACCACTGTAACCATTTTCAGTATTACCGTTGTTGTTGCCGTTTCTCGGCCTGCGCTGCAGAACTGATGAGGAAGAAGGAGCAGATGCTGATGAAGGGGAGGTAGAGTCCTTAAATGGACAGTCTGCTATCAAATGTTCCTGTGGATTTGCACTGGTGGCACCTTTTTGGAAGAGGACCATGAGGGCACTTTGCTGCAATGTGGTTGGCAAAATCTCCGCAATTATAGCATCTGCAAGAATTCACAAATAATCGATCAATATGGAACAAAATAATCAATTAGAGGACATTACACAGATGGTGCTATGCTAGCACAGTGGCTAAACGCTTGCCTGCTGGCCCTAGGATCTTGAGCTTTGAACCCACATCCAGTCAGATTTTTTTCAAAACCTTTACTCTAAGATCAACTTAGCCTAAATGGGTACCATCTAATTTCGTAAGTAAAGTCGGCCAGCATATTTTGACCATAACACCCAATAAGTGCTAAAAGGACTATGAATATGAAAATAAGAGTCTAGTTGTACAGTATAGCACTGGTGTAAAAAGGATCCTTACTTTTCATAGCATTAAAAGTATATGGTTAAGCACTAGCAAGGGAATCAAAGTCAATAATTTGAGAGCATGCATCTTCCCTGAAAAACCTGCACAAGGTAGGAAAGCTTGTGAGATACCTGCACAAGATGGGAGAGCTTGCGAGATACCTACACAAGGTAGAAGAGCTTGCGAGACACTTGCACAAGATGCAAGAGCTTGCGAGATACCTGCACAAGGTGCAAGAGCTTGCGAGATACCTGCACAAGGTGCGAGAGCATGCGAGATACCTGCACAAGGTGTGAGAGATTGTGAAATATCTGCACAAGGTAGGAGAGCTTGCTAGATATCTGCACAAGGTAGGAGAGCTTGCGAGATATCAGCACAAGGTGTGAGAGCTTGCTAGATATCTGCACAAGGTAGGAGAGCTTGCGAGATACCTGCACAAGGTGTGAGAGATTGTGAAATATCTGCACAAGGTAGGAGAGCTTGCGAGATATCAGCACAAGGTGTGAGAGCTTGCTAGATACCTGCACAAGGTAGGAGAGCTTGCGAGACACTTGCACAAGGTGCGAGAGCTCGCAAGATACCTGCACAAAGTAGGAGAGCTTGGGAGATACCTGCACAAGGTGCGAGAGTTTGCGAGATACCTGCACAAGGTGCGAGAGCTTGCGAGATACCTGCACAAGGTGTGAGAGCTTGCGAGATGCCTGCACAAGGTGCGAGAGCTTGCAAGATACATGCAAAAGGTAGGAAAGCTTGCGAGATACCTGAACAAGGTATGAGAGCTTGCAAGATACCTGCACATGGTAGGAAAGCTAATCCTCACAAGCATGTCATAGGAGGCAACTAATTATGGGTGTTTTCTTTGAAGTCAGAGTGCATCTGCCTGAAAGGTGAGGAACCAACAGTCTGCATAAAAATAAGCCAGATCTGAATAAAAAACTCAAGATCTGGAACAAAAGTATAAAGTGGATGAACAACCAGAACCTGCCACAGAGATTCAGAGCCAGTGAACAATAAGAAAAAGAAAATATAAAATAGCAAGGTCTGAGATCTTTAGAGAAATACAATGATCGCCTCTGGCATTAAGTAAGTTATTTGGTGATTATTCCAGCTTTGAATCAATGAACAGGATATCATTCCTGTGGGTATTTTAATTAAAACATCAAATGCTTTCATAAAGCACTCACTGATTGTTGATGTAGATACATGTTGGAAGCATTAACACTGATACAAAAATCTAATTTCGATATAATCTCATCCGTTATTAAAATATTTGTCACACTTTATCATAATCTAAACAAATATTAACACACTTGTCCAATCTTAACCAATACTGAGACACGTGTCCCATCTTAACCAATACTGAGACATGTGTCCCATCTTAACTAATACTGAGACATGTGTCCCATCTTAACTAATACTGAGACATGTGTCCCATCTTAACCAATACTGAGACACTTGTCCCATCTTAACCAATACTGAGACATGTGTCCCATCTTAACCAATACTGAGATACTTGTCCTATCTTAACCAATACTGAGACACTTGTCCTATCTTAACCAATACTGAGACACCTGTCCAATCTTAACCAGTACTGGGACATGTGTCCCATCTTAACCAGTACTGAGACATGTGTCCCATCTTAACCAATATTGAGAAACTTGTCCCATCTTAACCGATGCTGAGGCACTTGTCTCATCTTAACCAATACTTAGATACGTGTCGTATCTTAACCAATACTGAGACACGTGTACTGTCTTAACCAATATTTTGATACGTGTTTCAACTTAACCAATACTGGGACATGTGTCCCATCTTAACCAATACTGAGACAAGTGTCCCATCTTAACCAATACTTAGATATGTGTCCTAACTTAACTAATACTAAGACACTTGTCCTACTTAATCAATACAGAGACACTTGTCCTATCTTAACCAATACTGAGACACCCGCCCTATCTTAACCAATACTGAGACACCTGTCCTATCTTAACCAATACTGAGACACTTGTCCCATCTTAACCAATACTGAGACATTTGTCCTTTCTTAACCAATACTGAGACGCTTGTCCAATCTTGACCAATACTGAGACATTTGTCCTATCTTAACCAATACTGAGATGCTTGTCCAATCTTAACCAATACTGAGACACTTGTCCCATCCTTACCAATACTGAGACACCTGTCCCATCCTTACCAATACTGAGACACTTGTCCCATCCTTACCAATACTGAGACACTTGTCCCATCCTTACCAATACTGAGACACCTGTCCCATCCTTACCAATACTGAGACACTTGTCCCATCCTTACCAATACTGAGACATTTGTCCCATCTTTACCAATACTGAGACGCTTGTCCAATCCTTAACCAATACTGAGACACTTGTCCCATCCTTACCAATACTGAGAAATCTGTCTCACCTCAATCAATATGAAAGCTTCAGCAATACTGACCAGTATTCATATCACTGTAAAGAATGGCCAAAGTTGTGGTTGTGAGGTTTACCTCACCACAGAGAAAGAGCCTGATGTGTGGTTCTGAAGGGTTTCTAACTATAGAGTAGTCAGATGTGTAGTTTGTCTCACTATACAGAACAGTCAGATGTGTGGCTATGAGGTTTGTCATACTGTAGAGGATTGTCAGATGTGTGGTTGTGAGGTCTGTCATACTGTATTGAACAATCACGTGTAGTTAAAAGGTTTGTCTCACTGTAGAGAACAGTCAGATGTGTGGTTATGAGGTCTGTCTCACTGTATTGAACAATCACGTGTGGTTGTGATGTTTGTCTCACTGTAGAGAATAGTCAGATGTGTGGTTGTGAGGTTGTTTCACTGTAGAGAACAGTCAGATGTGTGGTTGTGAGGTCTGTCTCACTGTAGAGAACAGTCAGATGTGTGGTTGTGAGGTTTGTCTCACTGTAGAGAACAGTCAGATGTGTGGTTGTGAGGTCTGTCATACTGTATTGAACAATCACATGTAGTTAAAAGGTTTGTCTCCTCACTGTAGAGAACAGTCAGATGTGTGGTTGTGAGGTTTGTCTCACTGTAGAGAACAGTCAGATGTGTGGTTGTGAGGTTTGTCTCACTGCAGAGAACAGTCAGATGTGTGGTTGTGAGGTTTGTCTCACTGTAGAGAACAGTCAAATGTGTGGTTGTGAGGTCTGTCTCACTGAAGAGAACAGTCAGATGTGTGGTTGTGAGGTTTGTCAACCTGTACAAAACGGTCAGATGTGTGGTTGTGAGGTCTGTCTCACTGTAGAGAACAGTCAGATGTGTAGTTGTGAGGTTTGTCTCACTGTAGAGAACAGTCAGATGTGTGGTTGTGAGGTCTGTTTTACTGTAGAGAACAGTCAGATGTGTGGTTGTGAGGTCTGTCTCACTGTAGAGAACAGTCAGATGTGTGGTTGTGAGGTTTGTCTCACTGTAGAGAACAGTCAGATGTGTGGTTGTGAGGTCTGTCTCACTGAAAAGAACAGTCAGATGTGTGGTTGTGAGGTTTGTCAACCTGTACAGAACGGTCAGATGTGTGGTTGTGAGGTCTGTCTCACTGTAGAGAACAGTCAGATGTGTGGTTGTGAGGTCTGTCTCACTGTATTGAACAATCACGTGTGGTTGTAAGGTTTGTCTCACTGTAGAGAACAGTCAGATGTGTAGTTGTGAGGTCTGTCTCACTGTAGAGAACAGTCAGATGTGTGGTTTGTGAGGTCTGTCTTACTGTAGAGAACAGTCAGATGTGTGGTTGTGAGGTTTGTCTCACTGTAGAGAACAGTCAGATGTGTGGTTTGTGAGGTTTGTCTCACTGTAGAGAACAGTGAGATGTGTGGTTGTGAGGTCTGTCTCACTGTAGAGAACAGTCAGATGTGTGGTTTTGAGGTTTGTCAACCTGTACAGAACGGTCAGATGTGTGGTTGTGAGGTCTGTCTCACTGTAGAGAACAGTCAGATGTGTGGTTGTGAGGTCTGTCTCACTGTAGAGAACAGTCAGATGTGTGGTTGTGAGGTTTGTCTCACTGTAGAGAACAGTCAGATGTGTGGTTGTGAGGTCTGTCTCACTGTAGAGAACAGTCAGATGTGTGGTTGTGAGGTTTGTCTCACTGTAGAGAACAGTCAGATGTGTGGTTGTGAGGTCTGTCTCACTGTAGAGAACAGTCAGATGTGTGGTTGTGAGGTCTGTCTCACTGTAGAGAACAGTCAAATGTGTGGTTGTGAGGTCTGTCTCACTGTAGAGAACAGATGTGTGGTTGTGAGGTCTGTCTCACTGTAGAGAACAGTCAGATGTGTGGTTGTGAGGTCTGTCCACTGTAGAGAACAGTCAGATGTGTGGTTTGTGAGGTTTGTCAACCTGTACAGGACGGTCAAATGTGTGGTTTATCTCACTGTAGTGGGAGGTAAGTGTGAGATGAATTTATCTCACAGTGACCAACAGCAGCACCCCCTACCCAAACCCATAAGCCACACAAGAATTTACATACGTCTATTACATCTTTAGCAGACACCACATACCTGATTTTCCTGGGTTTCTTCCGGGACATAGGTCGCCGGTCGCTTCCCTTGCACTCCTGGCCCCCGATCCCGCACACAAAGGTTGCCTCCATCCCTTGGCTGGAGGGCTTACTCTCAAACTCCACACGTTCTCCCTCGGCCAGGCTGCGGAAGCCGCTCTTGAAAATGGTGGTCTGGGGGGGGGGGGGGGGGGGGGGTGGGAGAAATAATTACCAGATGTCATACGTGTGTGTGTGTGTGTGTGTGTGTGAGCAGAAAAGGGGGGGGGGTGGGGGTGTGTGTGTGTTGGCAAATAAATTTTACCCTTTTGCAAATGAATTCACCATTTTGCAGAAGTTTTACTACAACAATACTTTCTTGATCTTTTGCAATTTAAAAAAGAATATGCAATTCAAATTCAAATTCTCTTTCTTTGACCACTTTCAGCTAGGTCGGTTCACATTTCTGCTCACTTTCCTTTCAGCTATATTTGTGGTGACGTTTTCTGGTCGCGATCTTATTTGATTCTGGATTGTGTTTAATGTTGTCACTTTCTGTTTGTTGTGGTTTCCGCTCTTGCTGTTGTTTTTGTAATCTGGCTGGCCCTGTGCTGCGCTCAAGATGATTGGATGTTGGATCGATTTATTGTGGTATTCCTTGGCTGTTTGTTGTTTCCGGTGAAAGTAGATTGCCTATCCTAATAAGGACCGGCGGTCGATTGACTTGGGCAGGTACTGATGGCTATACTGCTGAGGTCTGGTATTATTTGGCGATTTTCTCGTATCCTTGTTGTAAAGTACTGCTCCTACATAGGGTTTCGGTAATTTGGCCTTGGTTGTGTCGTATCTGGTATTAGTGTTTGGGGTAACGGTGTCGACCTCGTTTGACTTCAAATTTTGGCTGTCGATGTGGTTCTTCTGGTGATGACCAAAAGACATCATCATCCTGCAGTTCTGAGTTATAGAAGTTCGGGTCCTCCATCTCCATGATGCGTTGGTTAATTTGGTCAATTGTTGCCAACGGAAACTGTTTCATCAGCGATGCCTGAGTTTTCTTATCTGGTGTTTGATGCGGCTTTTTTTCTGGGTCTCGGCTCCCTGTATTTGCTGCCTTCTTGTTGCCTCTTTCCGTGCTTTTCTCTCTTTCTTCCATCACTCTGTTGGTTGCTTGCAGTTCCCTGTTAAGTCTGTTGTTTTCTTCGTAGCTCTTCGTAACTTTTCCTCTGTTTCAGCCAGTGCCTTCTTGATCATTGCGACTTCTTTCGCGAGAAGTTGTTGGTTATCCCGCAGATCATTGATGACCGCCTCGTCTTCCCTTGCCTTAGTTGGTTGTTCCTTTTGTGTCTGGATAGTGGCCAGTGCATTCATGATGTCCTCCTTGAATTTTGTCATCTCTGCTGTCATCCGTTTTCTGGGTGTCAAGAGTCGCCTGCATTATAGCTCTCAGGCCTGTTATTTCATCTCTGTCTTCATCTCGTTGGGTTTTGGATGCGTCTTTTTCTCGTCTCTGAGAGCTTGGATGTCACTTTTGAGTTGAGCCACCTCGTTGCTCAATTTGGTGGTAATGGCTGCAGTTATGCCTTGGGTTGCTTCGTGTCTTCTGCGGGCCTCATGGAATGGAATCTTATCCCGTATGGCCGTGGTTGCAATTTCTCTACATTGTTGCAGATAGGGGCACCCCAGGTACCTGGTGCTGTGCTGGCCGTAGCAGTTGGCGCACTTTCTGTTCGTATTGGGTGACTTAAAGTCTGTGTCCAGCTTTGCCAGCGGGCAATTGTTGAAGGCATGGTGTTGTGAACAGTATCGGCATACTTCATGTTCGCTCACACAAGTGGCCCGGGAGTGCCATGCTTTTTGGCAACGAGAGCACTGGATCACCTGTGGCACGTATTGCTCTGGTCTTTGCATTCTTTGATCTAGGTAGACTTTATCCGGGATGTTTTCTCCTTCCGATGTTATCACCGCCACTGGCAATGGATGCCGTTTTGAGCCCAGTCTCTCTGCTTGGTTGATGTTGACATTGGAGTTTTCTTTCCTTATTTGTTGCTATGCAATGAAAGTGGTTGAAATTTAAATACTGCAGACAAGTGTGAATTTGATCTACGAAAAGCAGTTTCATACACGAGGAGAAACAGTCCGGCAGACAAACCACTGATCTATCTGCAACTTATAGCCCTTTAAATGCTGTCCCAGAACGGACCCACTGTAGAGAGGAACACAAGTTTTTAATAAACATAAAGACAAAAATGAAAGGAGTACAGTAGAACCTCGCTTAACGAGCACCTCTCATAACGAGTAATTTGCATTACGAGCAAAACAAATTGTAAAAAAAAATCACTTGCTTAAAGAGCGACGTTTTGCATAACGAGTGTGAGGAGAGGGGGAGTTCTGAACTGTGGGCATGTTACAACAGTCTGTGTTTAGCACTCGTTCCAGTAGCATCGTAGTGTCGCTTGTGATCACACATTTTCTCAAACACTTGTGTTACATTGTGATATATGTACATGAATCCTCCAGGCCTACAAGATGACCTCCCTGAAGAATATAAGTTCATCGAGATCCAGTTTATGCCGCCCAACACCACTCCGTTACTCCAGCCTATGGACCAGCAAGTTATTTCTGACTTTAAGACGCTCTACACTAAAGGACTCTTCGAGCGTTGTTTTCATCTGACTGAAGGGACCAACCTCTCTCTCTCTCTCTCTCTCTCTCTCTCTCTCTCTCTCTCTCTCTCTCTCTCTCTCTCTCTCTCTCTCTCTCTCTCTCTCTCTCTCTCTCAAAGATTTTTGGAAAAATCACTTCCACATTGTTGCCTGTCTCAAGATGATCGACAAGGCGGGCGACAGGGTTACAAAGAAAGATCCTAACTTTTGCCTGGAAGAAGCTTTGGCCGGAGAGCGTTGTCGAATGTGACTTTGAAGGGTTCGAGACAGTACCTGAGGAACCTGTAGTCAACGAGATTGTGTCTTTGGTCACTATCATGGGATTGTAGGTGGATAACAGTGATATCGAAGGCTTGTGGAAGAGCACAGCCAAGAGGCTGACAACCGAAGAGCTTATGGAGTTGCATTGTGTTTCACAGCAAGATGTTTTGGAGGAAAGTTTGTCAAAAGGGGTAACAGAAAAGCAATAATCTTCTGGCGAAATAAGAGAAATGCTGAATGCATGGGAAACTGTTGCATCTTACATTGAGAAGCATCACCCTAATAAGGAAGTAGCTATGCGCGTTGCAAATTTATTTAATGAAAATGCTGTGTCGCATTTTCGCCAAATTTTGAAGCGTCGGCAAAAACAAATGTCTGGACATCTTTCTAGTAAAAAATAATTAGCTATGTATCATTATATTTCGCCTTTTTTTTTATTGAATTCGCATTCCAGGTGGGTACGTTCCGGGGTGGAAGAACAGATGAAGATGATTCACTTTCCTTAACAATATGTAAATAGTTTTCTTTGAATAAACATTATACATAACATTTTGTGAGTATTTTTTCGACATGGAACGCATTATCATATTTTACATTAATTTATATGAGAAAATTTTTTTCGCATAACGAGTGTTTCGCTTTACGAGTATGATTCTGGAACGAATTAATGCTCGTTTAGCGAGGCTCCACTGTATTTGAAAAGGAAGAACAAAATAGTGTGCAACGTAAAACAGCGGCCCAAGGTCTACCTGATGATGAATGCCCGCTGCATCTTTGGGTTCGTGTTTACATATAGGTCAGCACAAAACGCATGCAGAAACGGAGGAGCAGGAGTGTACACTGAGAACCCTAATGACGCCAAGGGATATAGCCTAAATAGCCAGGGGAAAGCACTGTCACAACTATGATGCAGAAGTTCAAGCCATCAAGACAGAAGCTGAGCTACTTCTAAATAACGAGTTTATTTGGACACTACTTTCTGAACTAGGCAGCTGGGCCAGGTAGCTATGCAACTGATACCGTCCTACTGTGGAGTTCCCGGAAATGAAAGAGGAAATAAAACTAGCTAAGGGAGGTGCGACTGAAGAACCTGGCGTTCAAGATCAGCAGAAAAAGAATATATCAACTCAATTAGAAAGCCACCAAAACTGGCACAAGAACTTTCCATTTTATGGACAGGCCACGGGGCAGAATCGACTTCGCAGCCATGTGCACAATCGGACTGGCACCTCAGGCAACATTTTACATCCTTCAAGACTGTCCCAAATACATTTTGAGGCGAAACTTCTGGCCAAGAGAGACACTAGTGGGAACCCGAAACTTTACGGGCCGCTTGGTGAATTGCAAAAGACAGGGAAGTTCGTAGTATAGACAGCATTGCAGATATAGATAATTTATTTCAAACGAACGAAAGAAGAAGAAGAAGATCTGCAAAAGAAAATTTGGCGTGACAATCACGCGCGCACAAAGTCCTCATCTTAAATAAACATCAATAACACACAAACAATGGTTTCAACAACAACAAAATGCCAAACTGTGAGATCAATGATTATACTAGAAGAGGAAATTGTCAACCAAAAAGTTCAAATATTTAAGGGGAATAATCATAAAAGGTAGAGCTGCAACAGCATAGTTGCTAGAGGTTGATCTGCCGACCTGATGGTTTAGCAGTTCAAATCTGCATCATTTTGTTTTTCGAAATCAACCGCTGCTCACAGGTCGACCCCGCCTTAAATAGGCATCAGGTAATGACCTGGGAAGTAAAGGCGACTAGACTGACTTGATTAATGTTTACCACATAAACTACCGATTGGTCTGTGTAAAATGTCTAGAGCCCGATGGATCAAATACATGAAAAGAGGCCTTTGAATTAGTGTTTGAAACAACATCAGAACGAGGCTGAGGCTGTATGACCTAGATTTACAACAGACCAGGCCCACCAAAAGCTGCCTTTCAGAAGATGCACAAAATAACGCAAATACATATTAGCCATAATTTCTACAAGATGGGTGTAGCTTGCGGTACGATCTGTTTTTACCCTATGTTCACGCACATTCTGTTCTTTTCTTTTAGGCGATCACCAAATGTGAACTAAGGACAGATTGATTTGATTTGGTTCAAGAACCGACATAACATCACTCGGGGCATTCCCATAAGCGCTCTGTCCCTATCTTCAGCAGCCAGCAAAGAGTTCCGATACTAATGGTGCCAGTAGCATTCTGATTAAACGTCCGTTTTGCCTTTCCTCTGAGCTTCGAGCATCTGCCAGAA